AGGCGCCGAGCCTTAAGCCATTCTCTTACCTCAGCCTCCCAAGTAGCTGGGATGACAGGCACCCACCATAACACAAGGCTATATTTTTGTTGTATTTGTCATTGTTGTTTAGCTTGCCCTGGCTAGGTTCAAACCCGCCAGCCTCAGTGTATGTGGCCGGCACCATAACCACTGTGCTACAGGCGCTGAGCCTAGAATCTGTATTTTATTTTTATTTATCTATTTTTTTTGAGACAGACTCTTGCTTTGTCACCCTCAGTAGAGTGCTCTGGCATCATAGCTCACAGTAACCTCAGACTCTTGGGGTCAAGTAATTCTTACTTCAGCCTCCCAAGTAGCTGAGACTATAGACATCCACCACAATGCCCAACTATTATTAGAGATGGAGCCTTGCTCTTGCTCAGACCGGTCTCAAACCCATGAGCTCAGGCAATCCACATACCTTGGCCTCCCAGAGTGTTAGCATTATAAGTGTGTATCATCACAGCCAGCCCTGTATTTTTATTTTCAATTAATTAATTTTTTTTGAGACAGAGTCTCACTGTCACCCTGGACAGTATACCAGGGCATCATAGCTCACAGCAATAATCAAGTGATCTTTCTGCCTCAGCCTCCAGAGAAGCTAGAACCATAGGAGCTCACCACAACACCCAGCTAATTTTTCTATTTTTAGTAAAGACAGGGTCTCACTCTTGCTCAGGCTGGTCTCAAATTTCTGAGTTAAGAGATCCTCCTGCCTTGGCCTCCCACAGTGCTAAGATTATATAAGCATGAACCACCATGCCAAGCCTAGAATCTGTATTTTTATTTTTTTGAGACAAGTCTCAAGCTGTTGCCCTGGGTAGAGTACTGTGGCATCATAGCTCACAGCAACCTCAAACTCTTGGGCTTGTGATTCTCTTGCCTCAGCCTCCCAAGTGGCTAAGACTACACGCACCCACCACAATGCCCGGCTATTTTTTGGTTGTAGTTGTCATTGTTGTTTGGCAGGCCTGGGCTGGGTTCAAACCTGCAAACTCCAGTGTATGTGGCTGGTGCCCTAGCCACTGACCTACAGGTGCCGTGCCTAGAATCTGTACTTTTAAATTGATACATAATAGATGTACATATTTGGGGGGGGGCATACATTCATATAATGTGTAATGATCAAAGTTAGTAACCAGAAAAATCTATCACCTTAAAACATAGGAGGCTGGGGCACCACCTGTGGTTCAAAGGAGTAGGGCACCGGCCCCATATGCCAGAGGTGGCAGGTTCAAACTCAGCCACAGCCAAAAACTTCAAAAAAAAAAAAGGAGGCTGAAGCAAGAGAATTACTTGAGCCCAAGAGTTTGACATTGCTTTGAGCTATGACACCATAGCACTCTACTGAGGGTGACAAAGTAAGACTGTCTCCAAAAAAAAAAAAAAAAATTTATTTTCTTCTAGCTATTCTGAAATATGCAGATTACTATTAACTATAATCACCCTACTGAAGTATCAAAGACTAGATCTTATTCCTCTAAGAGTTGGGCTTAAGTGATTCTCCTGCTTCAGCCTCCCAAGTAGCTTTCAAATAAGAGTACCCATTAAGGCTCGGCGCCTGTGGCTCAAGTGGCTAAGGCACCAGCCACATACACCTAAAGTAGTGGGTTCGAATCCAGCCCAGCCCGCCAAACAACAATGATGGCTGCAACCAAAAAATAGCCAGGCATTGTGGCGGGCACCTGTGGTCCCAGCTACTTGGGAGGCTGAGG